TGGCAAATAAAAGTGTATTCAACATTAGGGAGATGTAAATTAAAACCATGATGATATACCACTATAAATCATTGAATGAAAATAAAATAAAACACAAAGACTAAAAATAAAGACTGAAATAAAACAAAGCCAAATGCTGGCAGAGAAATTGCCTCTGTCATATATTGCTAGTGGTAATGGGTGAATAGTTAAGCTATGGTATGTTATCTCATGGAATACCACTCAGCAATAAAAAGAAACTATTGATACATGCAACAACTTGGGTGGATGAATCTCAAAAGAATTACAGCATATGAAGTGAAAAAAAAAGCCAATCTCAAAAGGTCTCACTAAAAAAGTTCTTGGTATTTATGTGTTGGTGGGTAACAATATCTTTTTTGGGTTATTGTATGTGTGCCATGTTGAGATGTCTAAACTTCAGGCATATCAATAATCTAATAAAGGACAGGCAAATCCATGACATTTCCTCCACTCTTTGCAGAGAAATAATTAATGTTCTAATGAAAGCATTATACTCTGAAATTTGCAAAGTGCTTAAAATTAATCTGTATGGTAATTCCTCACCTATGTATCTATGCATACCTCAAGAATTATTACCCTATTTCCTATTTTATATTAAGAGAATAAGGAAGTATAATTAATAATAGTAATAAAAGATTTCAAGGTTCAGTTTTCTCTAAAAAGTTTAAGTTACATGGCAACAAGAATAAAACTCACACTGAACCTGCTCTTTCTAACTCTGTTTAGTAACTTTATATTCTCTAGTATCTTCTGCTGGCCTTTTCCTCTTTTCAATCTTTTTTTTTCTTTTCCAGTTTTCTTTAAATGGCACAAGCAGAGTATTCATTATTACTGAGATCTTCCCAATCTTAATCAATTTATTATGTCCAATAAAACCAGAAAAAACACTAGCCAATTGTAAATCTTGTGAATGATTTTATAATAGCTTTATCTATCAAGATAAATAAATATACTAGGGTTTCTAAAGTAATTCCAGCATAATATTAGGAATCCAAAGGCAGTTTATGAGAAATTGAAGTTTGTTTTTTTTTTTAAGTTTATTTCAACTGGTTTGGGGTAAAATTTAACTAATGTTTCTATCCAGTTGTGCTCTTTTATTTTGATTTGATTCCTTAACTATTTATGAAACACATGAATGTTTATGAAATACATTAATATATTTACTTTGAGCTTTGCTTTCCTCCAGCTCATGCATAACGACCCCTTTTTATTTATGTAAACTTGAAATAATAATAATAAGCTAGTTGTGCTCAGCTCTGCCCTTTGAGATGAACAGATGCAGTCAGACCCCAGAGAGCAGTCTGATGGACTCCACTGCCTCTCACCATGATTGCAAGTAATGACTGTGCTCAAATCTGCTCCGTGACCATTTCCCCCATGGTACATTTTGTTAAATACAGAACACTAGACTTTAGGCAATGAGGCTAAGTAAAATTTACACATTTTGTTTTACTAAGGCAAAAAAGGGCCCAGTCCCATGTATTATTATTACCTACTGACTCCATCCTCTTGTGATTAGAGCATCAGTACAGAATCTGTTCATGTCCTCATTGCTCCGGCCGAAGCTCCAGCCTCGAGCTCACTCTGTGGTGCTCATCTGGCCAGGAGGATCCAAGGGCACAGGGAGAGCTGCCTACTTACATTGCCCTGTTGTATGAGGTGGCATAACATCTCTTTAGGTTTGATTTCCACTGTAGGAAATTATAAAATCAGGTTACTGCACCTAATGGGGTTCACTATGAGAGGCCAGAGTGAGATTTAGAAACCTTTCAGTCCACTTATCAAAATGCTCACAGTTCCCATTTCATTGCAGATGACACAATAGTAAATACAGAGCAAAGGAAGTTAATCCACATCCGGAGGATTTTATTAAGTTAAACAATGAAAGTTGTGCAGAGCCCAGGCAATGACCTGCATATTAAAATTCACAGCAACCCATAGGCACATTTCACCAAAAGCCATAAATAGACATTGTAATGTATAATTTTCATTACTGACTCTATCATGAGTCTAACTGAAAAAAACAAACAGTAATTGTTTAATTGCAAACATCAGGGTTTTTTAAATCAGTGTTTTTCTTTTAGAAACATAGCAGGTATAGGACTGATAGGGACCCATCTTACAGTGTTGTCCACAGAACCATATCAAGGCATTTTTTTACTGAAATTTAATTTAACATTTTATAGCAAGTGTCTTCCAAATAAATTTTTTTATTTGATCTTTGACAAGTATAGGCTGGGTGTGAAGGAAAGTAGGTCAAAATAAAGTTACTACGCAAGCGAGAAAAAACAATATATTTCTCGTATCTAGTATTTTTAAACCTTGTATCATAGTGGGGGATTTTTAATTCATTTGTAGCTTATAATGTGAGTTTATTTGTTTTTTTGTTACATATATTATACATGCCTCTCCATATATATGTATATCTATGTGATATGCATATCCTGTGTTATGCTGCTTAGCCACCGCTTCAAAAAAATAAAGTCCTGATTTCTCAGTTTCTACCCTGTAAATCCTCCTCCATGGCCAATGTCAAGCTACCAATATGATGCCACTGAATATGGAGTTGGGAAAAGAGGTGCACATTTGGCTCCCGTGAGCCAGTACAAACAAGCTCCAACACCATTGTGGGTGTGTGTTTGCATGTGTGCACATGCACCCAAGTATAAAAATCTGTATACATACACACCAAGGGGGCTACTGATTAGTGAGGGAGAAGCCAGTGCCTACCTTGAAATCCAACTTTACCATTCACTAGCTATTTGACCTTGAGCAAATCATTTAACTTTTCTGTGCCGCAGTTTTCTCTTTTGCCTAATGAACATAATAATAGTACTAGGCTTGTTGTAAACATTAAATAAACTAACATATGTAAAGGGTTAAATTAGGACATAGGCCAAAGACACAAAGAGACAATTCTATAAAGATGATATATAGATGGCAAATAAAAATATATTCAATAGGCAGGGCAGGGAAAAGTGGTGATGGGAAAATGGGAACAACTGTGTCGGAACATCAATAAAAAGAGAAAAAATTTGGCAAAATATATATATATATATTCAACATTAGGGAAATGCAAAGTAAAGCCATGATGATATATCACTATAAACCATTAAGAGTAAAAGAAGTGCTATGTAAGCATAAGTGCTGTATAAACATCAGCTATTTTTGTTATTGCTAATAATATAATCTGTATGTAACTCTGTCTATATAGAATAATTCGTCAGGATCTTGACCATCAGAAGCAGCTGATGCTCCACCTCCATCTTTTCCACCACTCCCCGACCTCTGCCCCATCTCTCCCTTCCTCCCATTCACAGATTCGGGTTATCCTTGTAGGGATTAAGTTCAAATCTATAGGAATCAGCTAATCCCCTGAGGCTGGAGCTGTCCCAGTTATCTTCTAGCCTTGTCAGCTGTCTTACCTACTTGCCCCTCCCCATCAGTGCCTACAGGGTTCCTGTTACTGGAGCTTTGCCCTGGGGTGTCTGTTTGGTCCTCCAGAATCTTTGAGTGCATCTGGTTACCTCTCATTGTTGCTTGGTTTCTGACTGGTGGCTTGCCCTGACCCTTGCTCTGAGTGTTGTACCTCAATCTTTGGACCTTGACTATTGGGTTCTGACCTTGCTTTGGTTTGAAATCCTGGCTGTTGAGCTTGATCTGGATCTTCCCCGGTTTCTGTACGTTTTTACTCCAATTCTCTTAATCTGGGATAGCTTTATGATGGCCATTCAACCTGGGTTTTAAAGATAGTGTTAACTTTAAATATTCTGTACTTTTGACTTTAGTGTTTTGGTATACAAAGTATATTGGCCAAAGAATTTTTGAGGACAGAAAGAACTATAAAACCCCATAGTCGTAACATGTTCTTTTTTTTTTCATTCAGAAAATATAATTGTGGTTTGCCTAACCTTTTAAGTTCCAGTACTACAGAGACCACCAGCCTTTAAAAATTTTTTTTTTATTTTTGATATGTAGAGAAAGGGAAAGGGAGGGAGAAAGAAAGGATGAGAAACATCAATGTAAGAGAGATATATCAACTGGCTGCCTTCCCTCTGTGTCCTGACTTGGGACCAAACAGACAACCCAGGCATGTGCCCTGACCTGGAATCAAACCAGCGACCTTGCAGTGTGCGGGATGACACCCAACAAACTGTGCCACACCTGCTGAGGCATGACCACCAGTCTCAATGCCCAACCCCAAACCACAGTCCGGGTTCTACTGCTCTATCAGGCAGTATCATATTACATGATATGATAGTGATTTGAAAGGAAGGCACAGTTCAGTGCAGGACCCAAAAACCTCCTTGCCCCAGATTTCAAACAATGGCAGAAATGTCATATATTCTATTCTCGTTTTAAAAAATTATTTACTCTGTTTGTGTGTACATACTGTAATCATCTCAATTTACTATAATTTGAATACAAAGGAGGTGAATAACTTGATTGCCTCTGCTTCCCTCCAGTCCACCTCTTAGCCACCACATGTATCTGCAGCTCTCTCTAAAGATGGCATGCCCTGCCCTGGTTGGTGTGGCTCAGTTGGTTAGAGCAGCATCCCATAAACAGAAAGGATGCGGGTTCAATTCCCAGTCAGGGCACATACCTAAATTACAGGTTTAGTCCCACTGTGGCACATGATTGATGTCTCTCTCCCTACCTTCCCTTCTCCCTAAAATCAGCTAAGCATGTCCTCAGGTGAGAATTAAAAAAAAAAAATAGGTAGCATGCCCTGGTAAGCCCTCCTTAATTGAAAAGTGGCTAAATTTCCACAAAATCTAAAATCAGTGGTTTGAGCTCGGTTACCCCATCCTGTTTCCAACTGATTCAATCTCTGTTGGCAGCTTTTCTGTCTTGCCAGGCATGCAAAGGTAAACACTTAAAAATATTCCAAGAAAACTTCAAAATTCACATTTTCACTAGAGCTCTTAACAATTATTTCTCTAATCAACGTCTTCTATTCAAAGGGAGAAACATTGTGGCATCATTCGATGGTGGTGGTGCTTAGGCATTGTATGAGCCGGTGTGGTGATGGGTTGGGACAGGGACCACGTAGGAAAGTGGGTCATCGTCAAAATCCTTTTTTGAAAAAAACTGCAAGACAAGCAAATCTCGGGTCCCTCTCTTTTTCACACTGACTCAATCTAGTAGTTCACATAAAATTTTTTCTTTTCTATCTAATCCCCTTGAATAAGAGAGGAAAAAGGGTTGGATTCAAGAACCGGACTATGTTGGAAAGTGTGAATTTTAAACCAGCTTTCTTACTCTCTTGATAGACCCCCAGGGGGTCTATACACAGAATTCAGGGTGTCCATGAATTTGGAAGGGAAAAAGTTACATCATTATTTTCACTGACCTTTAATTGAAATTGAGGATTTCCCTCAGGGTCTCCCCAACCTCTGCCCTATCTGTCACTTCCTCCTCTTTGTAGGCTTAAGTTGGCCATGCGGTCCTTTAATTATTAATGCAGACAAGAAAACAGAGTGTTAGCAGTACTTAGGAGTTTTCATCAACAAAAATCAGACATTTTCTTATTGCTTTTACATTGGTTGCTTATGTCTTAAAACACCATATTCACTAATTACTATTTCAAAATTATGGCAGTAGCAGACTCGCTGCTACATCTCATGATTTAACATGTTAACAAAGAAGCACATACATATTACATCACGTATTTGTTTTTTAATATTCTGATAACTGAATGTCATTGAAATTGGTTTCCTTTGGACTCTTATGCATTTTATTTTAAAAACATCTTTATTGAGATATAATTCATATAAACATGAAACTCACCCATCTAAAGTACACAATTTAATGGGTTTAATATATTCACAGAATTTTACAAGCATCAGTACAATCTAATTTTAGGACATTTTCATCACCACAAAAACAGTTTCATTAGCAGTTACTTCCTACTCTCTTCCCCCCTGCACCCAGCCTGAGACAAAAACTAATCTACTTTCTGTCTTAAAAGATTTGCCTATTCTGACCTTTCATATAAATGGAATCACACCATATGTGGTCTTTCGTGACTGGCTTCTTCCACTCAGCATAAAGTTTCTGAGGTTCATCCAAGTCGTTACCATGTATCAGAACATCATTTCTTTTTATTGCCAAATAATATTCCATTGTACATACCATATATACCATGTACATATCATGAATATACCATATTTTATTTATTCATGCTGATGGACATTTAAGTTGCTTTCATTTTTCAGCTATTGGAATAATGCTGCTATGAACATTCCCATACAAGTTTGTGTGTGGATGTATGTTTCATTTCTAACCAGTTTATACCTAATATAATTGCTGGGTCATATGGTAACTCCATGTTTAACCTCTGAAGAAATGCCAGACTGTTTTCCAAACTTGTTGCATCACTTTGTATTACTACCAGCAGTGTTTGAGGATTCCAATTCCTCAATGTTCTGCCTTACTACATGTCTTTTTTTTTATTATAGTTATCTTCTTGGGTATGTAGTGATATCTCATTGCGGTTTTGATTTGCATTCCTCTAATGGCTAATGATGTTGAGTATTTTTTTATGTTGTTATGGGCCATTCATGTATCTTCTCTGGAGAAATGTCCATTCAACACCTTTGCCCATTCTTTAGTGGGGTTGTTCATCTCTTAATTAATTAAAAAAATTAATTATGTAATAATTTTTCATATATTCTGGATATAAGCTCCTTATCAGATATATATGATTTGCAAATATTTCCCCCATTCTGTGGGTTAACTTTCCATTAATGATAATATAAATTGCAGCACAGGAGTTTTTTATTTTGATGTAGAACAGTATTTTTTCTTTGTGGCTTGTGCTTTGGATGGCATACCTAAGAAACTGCTGCCTAGGAGAAGGTTACACAATTCTGTGAACATATAAAAACTATTGAATTGTACACTTCAAATAAGTGAATTATATGTAAATTAGTTTCAGTAAAGCTGTTTTTTAACACCAAAATGGCAGAAGGACAGAAAAATCCAGACCTTAGAATCATTCTTTGATCATCTCTGTACATGAACCAATAAATCCTCCTTATTGTTTAAAAATACAAAAAAAAATCAGATTCTAAAATAAGATCATGGTGATGGTTAGACAACCCTGTAAATATACTAAAATCCATTGAATTGTATAAATTTTAAATGAAAGAAGTTTATGGTATGTGAACTGTAGTTCAGTAAAGCTGTTTTTAGCACCACGCTCTAACCAACTGAGCTAACTGGCCGGCTCAGTAAAGCTGTTTTTAAAAAGGCAAAAGAAACCATTGTCTAATCTATAGGCATGAATATTCACTCATGTTTTCTTCTAAGAATTGTATAGGTTTAGCTCTTACATTTAGATTATTGGTCAATTTGAGTTAATTTCTGTATATAGTATAAGGAAAAGTGCCCAAATTCATGTAATTTATTTTATGCTCTTAAAAACATTATTCTGACAGGGAATCCATAGGCTTCATCAGACTGTCAAGGTAGTCCATGGTAGAGAAAAAGAAAACTTTGTTGTAGAAATTGTGAAACCAGAAAAGACACTGGCGTTCGTGCTGCCTGTCACGTGCCAAACCCAATATGCAGAAACATGGATTGGATCTTTATGGGCACTTTATTCAGATGGCCAGCAATCTGAGAAGATGGTGAGTTCATCATACCCCAACAGACCATCTTACTTTTTCTTTCCAAGCCAGCATTTTTATAACAGGGAATAAACAAGGTGTGGTTAAGGGTTTTGAAGCTCAGGGAAAATTTCAGATGAAAGAAGACTGCAGCCTTCTCGCCCTGGGCAGTTAGCTGTTCCTAGGGTCAGGTGGTCATCTGTCTCTCCCTGGAACACAATGGCCCGGATGCCTCCACTTGTCTCCAGGCAGTGACCTTTAGCTGTGTCCCAGGAGGTTGGCTGTCTCTCCCAGGAGCCAGGCTGTCTCTTCCAGGAGCCAGGATGGGCCTTATGTAGTTTCTGAAACAAAAGCTTTAACATAAGCATTACTAGGCTTTTAACTATTCACCTTCAACTAAAATTTTCCAGCTCTTGAGTCCTCCATCAATTGGACTACATACCCTTATTTTTCTGGGCCTCAGTCTTCTCCCCTGTAAAATTTGTGGGTAGAACTGAATTGGGAAGTCCCTTCCCATTCTGTGGGGCTCATTAGTGTTCAGACATTATGAGTAGACAGCAATGACTCTGTTATGAAAAAAATGCCGCATGTCTGTGACACAAGCTGCTTCTAAGTTTTTGTTTTGTTTTAAGGAAGCCACTGTCTGGCAATCAGGGGAGGGGGCTCAGCCAGAGGTCTGGGGCGTGTTCAGGGGGTTGTGTGAAGTGACGCAACAGGGGAAGGAAATGTTTTCTATTGAAAAGCAGTCAATTGCCTTCAACAAGTTGCTAACAAACTGGAAAAAGATTTTTTTCTGGTTTCAGCTGAATGCCAGCTTTTGGAAGGCAAATAGAGTGGGCTAGATGAAAGAGTGACAGACGCCCCAAAAGAGAAGAGATTGTTTGTTCAAAGTTAGTGGGAGGAGAAAGCTATCACTAAAGTCATCAAAGAGGAAAAAATCAGGAAAATACAATAAAATCTTTACTTTTATAATTTAAAAGGTACTTTTTACAATTGTTATTTCATATTATTTACTTTTTTAAGTTATAAATGTGGAATGAAGGGTTTTAAAGTGTACTGGCTGGGTCTCTTTCAAAATTAAAGGATTATGAGGTAAATCAATTGCATTTTAAAGGCTTTAACATCAAATTCTATAAGATTTCACCATTGTATGCATTTTAATTTTTTCCTGGAACCTACTTCCACACAGTGGAAGTACTGAGAATAATAATTATAAAAAGAAAGTAAAAACGTTTGCAAAAAATTCCATTAAATATAGAGTTTTAAAAAGACTGTAGAATAGTCTCCTAAGGTTTGTAAGGTACCTACTCTGATGCAAAGACCAAGCTAAATCCTCCACGTTTTGCAATTTTTGCATGCCATGTGTTAGCATTCTTTTCGATGAAAAGTCTACTCCCTTATCAATGGGGGAAAATATTTATGGGTTCAAAAGTCAGGACTTCCACTTTTCTTCTCCCTAGCATCTTTTCTTAGGCTTTTCCCCTCACAGTGTGGAGAAGAAGATTATGGAAAGAGGGGAAGAAGGGTCAGAACTCAAGTGCCCTGCCAGTTAGTCAAAGGTCAGCATGGAAGGGGCTGTCTGTGGGCACAAGGAAGCTGAATTTCTCTTGAGCCAGCCGAACTGGATGGCAGCCAATCTCTCTTCTTCCTGGGCCTAAGAGGAACTCCCCACAGTTCTGTGTGACCCTGCATAAAGACAAAACGCTTTGTGGAAATAGTTTCTACATGCCTAATTTCACCTTTTTACGTGAATAGATCAAGCGAGGTTTCAGCAGAGGGTCAAGGGACAGAGGAGAGTGAAGACCAAACTGGTATTTGCTGTATCAGAAACTTACAGGCTTATTCAGAAAGACTAAAACTAAGTAAAGACATCTTATTAACATAAGATGAGAGTTGTGAAATCTGGCCAAAGGGTTTTATGCAAGAATGCCCTTATATATATATATATATATATATATATATATATATATATATATATATATTCTCATGGTGATAGGGAAAGGTAGAGAAATATACAACATTCTAATTTGGAGAGAAAATTACTGTTTTTCATAAGTTCATAACATTTCTCACGTCAGCAATTTCCTTTTTACACTAAAACATGGTTATGGTGCTCCCAAGTTTTTTGCCCCCTCCTCAAAATGAAAAGGGAAGTAAAATTCTTTTCCCTAAAATAAAAATGCACATTTTTTAAAAAGTGTATTAAACCCACATAAGATGATTTATTCTAAAACAATCTTCCTCTTCAATTGAGCTTTTCTTCAGATTCTCTAAGAGGAAAAGTTGATGTCTAACTCCATGTGTTAGTTCCTTTCTTGCTTTCATTAATTTTTTTCTTGCATTTACTTTCTGGCAGAAGTAGTATTTTGTTATTCTGTGCAAATCCAGTTGTAATCCATCAGATGCCAGTTATTAGTAAGGTAATATTAATAATATGGTGATACTAGTAAGGTAAAAAGTTAAAAGTAATATAATGTATAAAACTGAAAAAGAGACATTTATGTCCAGAAATGATAGACCTTTATACTGTTTCTGCATTTAGGTGATCTCAGCCTTATTTTCTGGAAATGTGTATTGAGCTGTGTGTTTTTCACAAAAGAAAAAAATCCTGAGGACTGGGTCCAACTGGGAGGATTGTCAGCCAAGGTGGCCTGAGACAACACAGCTGGATGAAAGGTCCCAATTTTCACCAGACCGACTGCAAGGAGAAAAAGTCACGGCACAGAAGACAACCTTGTGCATTTGCGGGTCAGGCAAATGCAGAGAAGCAAGTGGTGAAGCTGAAACCAGAGGAGTGAAGATCTGAACAGAGCTAGGCAGGTGGAGAGTCAAGGGAAGGGTTTCAGTTCTGGAGCCACAAATGAGAAGCTGGCGCCAGAGGGCCCTTTTTATGTCGCTGCTAAAAGAGTTTCTGCTGCTTGGAGTAACTATCCAACACTCCAGGCTAAACACTGCAAATCAATAGACATATCAGATTTACTTTTATTCTCTTTTTAAAATACTTTCGTTTCATATCAGTGCTATATGATTTTTTATCCTTTTGTTCTTCCTTCCATGGGTCAACTGTTTTCAAGCTCCAGTCTCTCCAGCTCTAGGTTCCTTTTTATTTATTTTTTATTTTACTTAAGGGCTCTGTAAAAGCTAGCACTTTCGCACTCTTTTTTTACTTTCTTCATGTAGTCTGATCTGGAAACCAGGACTTTATGTTGGCTTGGATTTCTCAGGTCTCTAATCAACCCTGTGGAAAGTGGAAAAGCTTGGCAACAGGCATAATAATAATAATTAAAAATAACAGTGAGCACAGAACTAAGAAATGAGATTCAAAAATAAGAAAGAAAGTGACAGAGAGTCATAGGGTTTCATCTGAAAAATATCTATTCTGGCCAACTGAGAAGCACCCTTGCAAATCAGGCAGTAACATCTCTCTCAGTGAAGAAAAGCAAAATTATAGGGAAATTTTGCCTTCAAGTGCAGAGCTTACTTTGTGTATTACCTTCCGGTGAAACTTGCACATACAAACAAACCTTTGAAAACCCAAGATGAAAACAATGGCTGCCACTAGTAAGATTTCCAACGGCACTTTTAAAACAGAGTACATTTGTTTTTCTGGCACAAATACTTCAGTGAAGTTCTGCTTAATTCCATGCATGGTCATTTTGTATCTCCTATATACATTCTCTTTTGCTGAACTGAAATCTTGTCAATGAGTTATTTTAAAAAATACTTTTTGAAATACCCACACCCTAAACAGCAGTTCTGCTGTGTGTATACAAATGCCCTGGAAAGGCACAAGTCAGATATTGGGTGTAGGCACAGGACAAACCGCATGGTCTGCCTTGGCAGCCCTGTCCTCACCTGCAAGCTGCCCACACACACTCCCTTCCAAACGGTGCTCCTCTGATGCCAATTGGCTGACTGAGCTACTTTGAGAGGAAGCCTATGGGAGGGGAGGGGAGAGGTGAGGTGGATAAATATTTTATAAACTACACTCGAAGCTTAAAACTTGATTTACGCTTTCAACCAAATTCACATTGGAAGTCCCCATGTCTTCTTAAAAATCTTGGATGCTGAAGAGTTAAGGGGGTATGGAAGCTGGTGTAGTGTGGGGCTGTCATCCAAGGCCAGCTTGAAAGGCAGCAGGAAGGGTTTGGTTCTGGCTGGGCTACAGACCGGCCATCTGGATGCAGGGAAGGCCTAGAATGCCAGAAACAGCTTTTCTTTTTGGTGTTAGGCTTCATTAAGTTCAGTCTGGGGAGAGTCTTTTTGGTTTAAGACCCAAACTGAGAGTCTTCTTTGAACAGGGATTCTGGTATTTTCAACTTTACATGAAACAAATACTCATTACATGCATTCTTTTGGTAAAGAAGGTCACAAAAACCAATGTACGCAATTCAACATATGTTTTAAAAGGATAAAGACCAGATTCACTAGACTTATAAATACATAAGAAACTGTGTAGTATTTAAATAATTTTGCCAGGAATAGATGTATCTGGATATGTTGTCTGAAAACAAATGTTCTTTATATTGTGCCACTCTGTGACCCTTGCGAAGAATTATGGTTTTTCCTATAGTTTATTTGAAAGAGCAATTTCATCGCTTTGAAACTGAATTGCTTTTATGTCCTTAAAAGTACTTTCTTCATTTTTGTTTTACATTGAATTATATTACATTTGGCATAATGTTTAAGTGGGCCAGTTGTAATTCCTTTCACAGGAAATTTTTCTTTACTAAAATTGAAAAGAAAACCTGCAGGGAAATTATAGCAACTTCCTACTCTATATCACTCATGAACATACCCTGTGGAAACCACCCTCTTTAGAAGATACGATCTGTTCTTCTCTAGCTATAGCAGCCTGTGTTGGATTTGTATGTGTTATTCTTAACAATGAAAGGAAAAGGTGAATGTAAATTCACTCAAGCAAAACAAAGTAGGAAAGAGAATATTATCCTTAAGAGAATTCTTACCTTAAGGAAGAGAAAATGCACGTATCTTTCTGGGTGGGGAAGATGGGGCGGGTGGTGGGGGAGAGTGGACTTATTTTTTTCTCTCCAAGTCATTAATTGCCACCTAGCAGTAGACAAGGGAATTGCATACTTAACTTGACTTCGATTCTAGAAAACATTGGTTTTAAAGGTTACATTACTTTTATTATGACCAATATCTAAAGAATTATTAGCCTACTGGTATACTAGGAATTGAGTTTTTTCTCTTGTAATGAGAAAAGAAAAAAAATACAACAAATGACAAATTTTGACTTATTTATAAGATACTCTTTCCATCAGAAAGTATCTGTTCTTTTGTTTCTCTATGGTTGTTACCCTTGCCACCTAAGCAATAAGCCAAAGGAAGAGAAATTCTGAAGCCATCTTGACACTAAAAAAATGCTGGTTTTGGCTTAGGAAAGGAAAAAATGCATGTTTTTAATACAGAAAGCGGTTACTCAAATAATCTCAGGGTGGATTTCTATAAAAATGAGATCGAATACATTTTATTTTGCTAGGACAAAAAATGTTGTTTATTTTGAAAATCAGAAGACATCTTTTTATAAAAAAATGAAATAATTTCCAGACCAAATGATTATTCAAATATGTTAAAGAAGAGCATCTTTATTTCTAACTTCACCAACCATGTTTTTATTTTTGTTAATAGTCAGCCATGCTGAATGCCAATGCTTTAAAAAAAAATAGTTCTCTATTATTGTGTTTCATAGATCTTGGCAGCTAAATAAAAATTTATTTCACAAATAAAAATAAAAATTTATTTCTTGGCAGCTAAATAAAAATTAATTTCACAAATAAAAATTAAAATTTTCCAGAGACTAAAGCAAAATTAAATATTTAGACTCCAAAAGTTAACAAGTTGAAAAAGAAGGTTCTAGGCTGAAAATGTAACTTAAGATACCGAATGGCCGGAAGAGTGGGCTCATTGTATACTTCTAGTTTGCTACTTTTTATCTAGTTAAATAATAGGCATCATTACTGTATTAATTGTATGAGTATATTATTACTAAGTCAGTGAGCAACATTTTTCGAGACAAATACTGGTTTTAAAATAATAATGACAATAATAATAGCTAATAAATATTGAGTATTTACCATGTGCCAGCCAGTGTGCTAAGCACTTTAAGTGAGAAATTCACTTAGTCATTGCAACAATCATAAAAGATATTAGCCAATATTCTCTCTACTTTATATATAGATTTAAGCAACAACCAAACAAGGTTCAGAGAGGTGAAATCAGTTATCAAAGGTCTCAGAGCTCCCAAGTAACTAAGCTTAAATACAAAGCCAGTTGTCTTAACATTGAAGTCCTCAGAGGTCAATTCTTGGAACTCTTTTTCTATCTACTCCCACTCTAGACCTATGCTCTAAATAACTTCTCTACTATGATGGCCTTCAGTTTGGGGTTTCCAGAGTGAACCTCTCCACTGAACTCCAAATCATATGCCAACCAACTATTCCATGTCTCCATTAGGATGTGTAATAGACATCCCAAACACGAAATATACAAAACCATATTTATCTTTTCCCCCAAATCTGCTCTTATCTCTTCTTCGTCACAGTTCATTGCAACTCCATTCTTCAGCATGCTCAGACCTAAAACCTTAGTCATTTTGAAACCTCTTTTTCCTATATGCCACATTAGCAAGGTACTGTTGGCTCTGCCTTCAAAATATATCTAGAATCTAACTACGTTCTACCCTCTCACCATTGTAACTCTGGTCTAAGCCACTGCCATCCCTCACTTGGATTACTAGAATTGCCTTGATCTTGTTAGCATGCCCAGCTCCAAACAGTCTGTTCTCAACACAAGGGTCAAAATAATCATTTAGCCCTGGCGGGTGTGGCTCAGTGGACTGAGTGCTGGTGTGCTGGTGTGGACTGAGTGGATTGAAAGGTTGTCAGTTCGATTCCCAGTTAGGGCACATGCCTGGGTTACAGGCCAGTTCCCAGCAGAGAATGCATGAGAGGCAACCATACATTGATATTCCTCTCCCTCTCTCCTTCCCTTCCCCCTCTAAAGATAAATAAATAAAATCTTTTTTTTAATCTAGCTTAGTACTTAAAAAATAATCATTTAAAAATATTGATCATGGCATTTCTCTTTTCAAAACCCTCTAGTGGCTATTTCACTCAAAGTTCTTGCAGTGGCCTAAAGGCCTTATATTATCTGCAACCCCCACCCCCTTTCCTGATTTTATCCCATAATAATCTTCTTTGGGAATTTTTGCCTGTTTTGTTAACTGAGGCATTCTCAGGATTTAGTAATAATGCTTGGCATATGGTAAGGTGATTAATAAATATTGTTAAATCAATGAGAATTATCTGACTCCAAAGCCTATCCTCTTCATGATTCCCTTCTATGCATATACTGGCGGCTCTGAGTTGAAGGTGGTTGCCTGGACTCTTCAAAGTGGCTCTTATATGAAAGTTCCACTTGTGCACCAACAGAAGAGATATTTGCCCTCCTGGGGTTTTAATGGCTTTCACTCTCCGAAGCATGAGTTGGCCCAGGGTACATCCTCATTCTTATGCAGTAGTTGCAAAGTTGATCAATAAGGGAATTTTGTAGAAAGAACAGGCCAGAAAAGAAGCATTGCTTCCGTAATTTAAAGACTACTGTTAGTTACTTCTGGATTTTTTAAATGTTTTTTTTTTAATTGACTGATTTAAGATTGAGAAAGAAACATGAATTTGTTGTCCCACTTATTTATGCATTCATTGATTGATTCTTGTATGTGCCCTGATCAGATATCAAACCCGCACCTTTGCGAACTGGGACAACATTCTAAACAACTGAGCTACCCAGCCAGGGGTGGATTGGGGTGGGGGTGGGGCAGGTGGTTAAAAACTAAATAAAAACAAATTCTAGTAAGAGCCAAGGTCAAAAATTTCCCATGGACATGTAATATTCATTGTTACTCAACTATCTAGATGACATTCTGTAATAATTGCTTAACTTCTAGAAAAATATTTCTAAACAACTTAAGTATGCCAATGGCTTTTGTACAGGCCTCTCTTTTGGCCATACACACTGAGGGAGAAAATTATATCACATGGTTTAGATACAACTCTAAATTGTTACTCTTCCAAATTAGGCCTATTAATTCCAATCTGCTCTATTCCAAGCTTTAGCTGTTACTATCAGAGAATATTAGCTTTTGAATAACTAGTAAAAATAATAATAAGTTGGGCATGGATATAGACAAGGCCAGCTTTAGAGTGAGCTATCTAAAGGCTATCAAATGTTAGTGAAATAAATGATGTTACACTCATGTGATAGAATACCTTACTGTTATGCTGTGACATTTAAAAGCATGCAACATGAAGAAATGTTTATGCTATAATGTTTAAATTAAAAAGCATGTTAAAAATAAGCATATATAAGTTGACACAAATTTTTGTGGCAGTTTATTTTGTTGAGATATTAATTCTATGTGTTTGCCTACACCCTGCCTCTTGCCCCTATTCAAGCAGGTATCTGGACCTCAGATTTTTATAAGGCAAAAATCAAAATCCTCTTAGAAACAACACAAGCTCTCCCTGTCTTTTGAAATGAGAAAAGGGAAAAAAGAAAGGAGAACCTTTGAGGGTGAGGTACAAGAGAGATCCTGCAAGATTTAGAAGTCTGTAGCCTGTTGGTTGAGTGCATAGCCAAGACTCCTGTGCCTGTGACAGAGCCGAGGATGGTGGCACAACCTCAAAGAGGAAGGCTGCACCTGGGTGTAGGGCCTGCAAGATTCACTCACTTGATTCCAGATTCTTGAGTTCCAAGGATGGTAAAGGAATATTGGAGTCATCAGACCTGAAGATGGCATAGAGGAAATTTAGCAGTAAATCGATGTGTAGAGACAACCAAATAATTTGAGGTTATTCCAGGTATTTCCACAATAATTATTGCTCTAGAAACTTTGTACAACTGTAGATGAAGAGGAAATTCTCAATAATAACCGAGACTGAATTTCCACCAGCATGGCAGGTGTTAGATCCAAATTGGTGGCAAGAAATGCAGTATTTCTTTCTACAGAATAAGCGTCTCACACATAATATGAATGCACACACAGTGTATTACATATTATAAATATTGGAAAATATATTCTCAGGACAATTTTTCTCGATTCTTTAGACAGATATTGTTGTAGAAAAAAATCACTAAAAATTTTAACCGTGATTTTCTCTATCTAGCAGATGACAGGGGATTATTCTTCATACTATGCACTTGAAAAAATTTAAATAAATGTGTATTCTCTTTATAATTGTAAATATTATACAACCAACTGCAAACTGACTTTTTTTCTTTTACTCCTATATCTGAGCAGGTAGAAAACAGGGAAGGGCATACATCATAATCTTAGGTTCTACTTTCCAGATGTTTTAGACCTACTGATACTGTTTCTAGGAGTATAATATACTCTAAGCTTCAAGAAAAGATAACATGTTTCTCTCACATTAAAAATAAGTAGTGTACATCTCCTGTACCCTGTGAAATTTAAGATATTACTGTATCCATCAGGATACCAGCAAGAAACAGATGGCACACTCAAAAGGGTAACTGAAGGGAGTATCATCAGAACGTGGGCAGGGAAACAGAAAGAGATAATGCAGTACCACTGCCAACCCAGCACCAACATGGAGGGAGAAAGAGTAATAAATATTCTGTCCCCTATTGCCCTCGATCTCCTGCTACAACCATACATCAGCAGAGTTCAACCAGAAGCCAGAGAGGAAGGATACTTGTTGCTGTAATCCGTAAAGGGTGAAGTAGATGCATACGGGTAACAAGATTATCTAGCATGGTGACATCAAAGTACAAGCAATTCTACAATTTCACCATAAATATTTCTAAATTTAAAGATTTCTACTAGAAGAATACTGGAAACACAGTTTTGGACATGGTCTTTGGTACCATGCAATATATTGACAAGAATATTCATTGTAGTATTTTTGTAATAGCAGAAACTTGGAAATAATCTAATTGCCACCCATAATTAACAAAACTATTGTATTTCCACTTAATGGAATACTATGAAACTGTTGAAAACCATATAGATCATTACTTATGGATATGAAAAGATGGCCATAACTTTTTAAGTGTAGTATTCATTCAATAATATTTATTAAGCACTAAGTATGTGCTAGGCATTGTGCTAGGTGCTGAAGAAACAAAAGAGAACAATCCATTCATTTAAATCTGTAAATTTAATTCACTAACAGTGATTTTTAAAAATGACAACTAGTATTGAATTTCAGGAGGAGGGCACCCATATACTACTGTTCAGAGTATACATTGGTGAACATTTCTGGAGGGCAACCTAGCACTTCTTATCAAAAGCCTTAGAAATATCCATTTCATTTAATCCTTCAATTCTATTTTTATGAATTTTAAAAAAAGATTTTATCTATGTGTTTTTAAAGAGGAGAAGGGAAGAGAGAGTTCCAAAGGACTTTGTTTTCTTTTCTTTCAACTTTAAAAAAAGATTTTAATTTATTTTTAGAGAGAGGAAGAGAGGGAGAGAAACATCAATGTGTGGTCGCCTCTCTGGCGCCCCCTACTGGGGAGCTGGCCCACAACTCAGGCATGTGCCCTGACTGGAAATGGAACTAGCCACCCCCGGGTTCACAGGCCAGTGCTCAGTCCACTGAGCCACATCAGCCAGGGATATTTTTATGAATTTATTCTAAAGACCGGAACGCAAGTGTACACGAAAAAATATATATCAAACAGCTCATAAATGAGTTGCTTGGGAGAAGGGCGGTGCCTAAATATTAAACAGTAGGGACTTGGATAAATAAAATATATGTTTATAAGGTGGAATACTAGGGAGCCTAGAAAATATTTAATATAGAAAATGGCCAAAGTGTATAAGTGAAAGGGTGATACTAAATAGTCCTGAATTTGAGTAAATCACGTAATATGAGTGTTACTTTATCTGCAAATCTCAAATCCTTAAGGACCCTTTCAATTCTTACCTGAGCCTAGACATTCATCCTTTCTTCGCTAAAAAGTCATAGTTGGCAGTCGGTAGACGTCAGGTTGGCAGCTGTTTGCAGAGCTGTCCTAAACTGTTTTTTTAAACCTGGGGACTTGCTAAAAGATGTGAAGGGAATACATATTTTGAAAGAAAATGTCCATTTTTTTCTCAGTGGCCTAATCTGCCAGGCACCATGCTTGGTTTTGAGGACACCAAAGACATCAATGCCCTCAAAGAGTTCAAAGTCTGGTGGGAGGAAACCAATGATAATGACCAAGAGTGATCAATGACAACAGAGCCTTGAAAGGTGAGTTCTCCTTTTGGATTCCAAAATGGAAATAAAACCGTGTTCACAAACAACATACTTGAGTAAGAGTATGGTTGACACACAAACTCTTATTGATTGACAGACACACAATAACAGTATGGTTGACACACATACCGTTATTTTGTGGCCTTTCTTGTGGTAGTCTTGTTCTTCTCGCAGTCACACAACACCCCAAATTTCTGTGGATACTTTATGAGAGGTTTAGTTGCATATTCGATCACTCCGAGTCGAAGCTGTCGTCTGAAGCGATTTCAGGTGCATCCGGCAGGGCCAGTGAGAAACTGGAGAGTGTCAGCAACTCACAGGTAAATCACGAGGATGTAAGCAGCGTTAACTTGGTAGTGACTGCCAGGCAGCTCTAAGCGACCACAAGCATTTCTTGCCAAGGTTTCCCGCCAATCTCAGTTCCACCTCCTCCTGAGGCCCCGCCCACTTTTGAGTGGTGGAGAGCTCTGTGGGCGTGGAAGCGTTGAAAGCCAATCGATATCTCTGGAATAGACTGCTCTGCCCTGCGCCTCTGCCGTCAAAATTCCGCAGACCTCCCTGTAGATCGCGGAGCGGTAGTTTCGGCTGCGCTGCTTGATCTGCCGCTTTGCAGGAGGTGACTGCCAGGTCTGCGTCGGAACCATGGTGCGTTGGATTCCAAGCCTATGAAGGGTTGGGGCAGAGGTCCGCTAACTGGACGATAACGAGCCGCGTCTCCTGCCATCCTTAGAGTGGTCTGGGGCCACGGGGCGTGGAAACCATACCAGTCTGGAGGGTTCGGGCAGTGATTCAGCATCTCTGGCCTGCGGGGGAGAAGGGCTGTCGGGAGTCAGTGCGGCCTTTCTCCTGGGTTTGTTTCACTTTCTGCCGGGCCTCAGACACTACCTTCTCCGTGACTTAGCCGAATTCGCCCCTCAAGTTCCTTCAGTGAAGTAGATTCCGAGCAGTACTGAATGGCCCCCTCGTGCTCTACGTCAGGGGCGTGAGAGGAGATAATAGGGATTTGACCTGGAAGCCTCCGTGTACTGCCAGTGCGAACTTGACCTCAGGGTTTGGGTTCTTGTACCGCATGTATTTACCTGCTGGGTCTGTTTCATTTTTCTGTCCACTAGAACTTGATCAGAAAAGGCCCTCTTCAATCACTTTTTCCAGTCATCTAGTTTTACAGATGAGTAAACCAAGGCTGAGAAAAGTGATGTTATTAGGATTACAACATAGATTTCAGGGCTTCCGGTACTCAACCTTCTCACCCCCAAAACTATTTTCCCAAGTACTGCCCTGCCCGTTAATGCCGCCATTAAAGCAGCAATGGTTCTGTCGCTAGAGGTATGTGAGTCCACTTCTGACTTCCTGAGGAATTTTTTTGTATTTATTCATTCAATATGATTGCCTGTACTTAAAAGGCACTATTTTAAGCGTAGCGACGGCTCAAAGATAAATCAGACATGTCCCTAATCACAGTATAAGGAAGTAAGGGACATGTAGGTAAAGAACTGGTGGGAGTATGTATTGGGAGAGTTATGGAAGAAAAAAAAAAGGAGAAACCTCAAGAGATAGACATTTGAGTTAGTTTTTACAAAAGAAATGCTTTTGACTCTATTAGGGTCTCGTATAAGGGAAGAACATAAGCAAACATAGGAAAGAAAGTCGACACATGAACTTAAGTAATTGGCTGAACCCAAAAGGATACTATGGGTGTTGGTAGTTAAGTCCCATCTGGATCTGATTCCCCCCCCCACACACACACACACACTAGCTCATTGTGTCTGTAGAATTGGCTTGGAGCGGAGTACATGTAGTAGTAATCTTACAGTGAGGTTGTATTAATAGCATTGTGTTAATGTTTCATGGAAACATCAGAAAACTTTTTTTAATGGTAGAGCAACTTAAGAGTTAGGATTTGTGATGTTCTTATATTAATAGGCCTTTTTTACTTTCAGTTTCGCAACCAGTATGACAATGATGTCACTGTTTGGAGTCCTCAGGTAAAATATTTTATACTATTTCTGTGAAGTGGATTTTGGTGGTCACAGTATGTTTAGAACATTATGAGATTCTAGGCCAGGAGAAAATGGAATAGAATCATTTAAGACATTCCTGGAACCTAAATTTATCATTAAATTTCCTGGTTTAAAAAACATCATTTGAGATTTAACTGTGTTCATCTGAGATTTTGAAGCTCTTAATTTTAAATTTATAAAAGGGTCTTGTAAGATGACTCTACAATTTTTTTTGTTCAGGGCCGGATTCATCAAATTGAATATGCAATGGAAGCTGTCAAACAAGGTTCAGCCACAGTTGGTTTAAAATCAAAAACCCATGCAGTGTTGGTTGCATTGAAGGTACGTAAAGCAGTAAGTCTATCTTCCTCCTTTAGAAAACAGAACTATAAAACATAAGTGTCACACCATATAAATAATAAAATTGCAAACTTGTTTTTCATCTCTTATAATGTCTTTATTTAGAGAGCACAGTCAGAGCTTGCAGCTCATCAGAAAAAAATTCTCCATGTTGACAACCATATTGGTATCTCAATTGCGGGACTTACTGCTGATGCTAGACTGTTATGGTGAGTATGATCATGAAAAACAAAAGAAACATCCCTTTTGACTTATAATTGATTTAATTGCTGGAAAAGATTTAGGTAAGATAATGTTAGGAAGTTCTCTTCTAGAGTGTTTATAAGATTGTGAATACCTTAATGGATTTGGGCTCAATTACTAAGTATTCCATTTTTTGATCCCTGGAATAGTAACAAATAGAATTAAGCATACTAACACTTTGTAGAAATCACTGAATAATGTGATACTTGTTAACTCAGTGTATGTTGTTTGAGATGTTGTTTTGTCTAAGAAGAGCTTGACAACTTTTTTCTGGTTTCTAAGAAACAGCTGAACTACCCTTGCTTTCTTTAATACACCAGAATTTATCAGGCATTTATTTTTTGCAGTGCTCAATTCTGGATATTGCAGGGTATACAAAGGTGAATCAGACCTAGCTTTTGCCTTTTAGGAACTGGAGATCTAGTAGTATGTCCATAAAACAAGGTATAAAGTAAAGAGTAACAGATTTCTGTGGGAGCCCAGAGGAGATCAAATTATTTCTAGTTTAGAGATATTGTGTAAATGAAGAGCTGGGGCTCTGAAATCACACAGATTGAGTTTACTTCCCACTTTTACCACTTAGTATCTGAAATTGGGCTAGTTATTTAACCTCTTAACGTCAATGTTAATTTTTTTAGTGTCTTTTTCAAGGTTATTGTTAAATAACCTAACACATAGACCACTTAACAGTGCCTTCAGGTAATATGTGAGTGTGGGTATTGGGATATGGGAGGTAATAAACTGTTGTGTGTAAGTTTCACTTATTTGGGGAAGAAAGTATAATCACTAAGGGAAAATAGTAATGCCAGTGTTTAAGATTTTCAAGTCATCAGCAAACTCCTGCTCTCTTAGGTCAAGGTGTATAGTGACAGTGTTATAGGTTTCTGTTAGCTCTTGAAAATGTGCAATATATTGCATTGTCAAACCTTTTACTTAATTCAGTCTGTCAAAAATACTGTCATGTCCACATGTAATCAGTATAAAAACAACCTAACTGTTTTACACTTTTTTTCTATTAAGTCTTTGAAATTTCTTGTGTATTTTGAACTCATGATACATCTCAATTTAGATTAGCCACTTTTTAAGTGCTCAGTAGTCACATGCAATTAGTACCTGCCATTTTGGGGCAGTATCGTTTGAGACAGCCTTGGGAAGTGGACTTAAAGACGCTGAACAGCTTGGTTCCTACAGTCAACATTTAATCATTAGATGTGACATACAGATAAATTGCACAAAGCAACGGAGAAAGAAAGGAGGGTATCTGTTGTTTATGCTCTTGGCTTTAAGAGGCATGGATTTCATTTTCCCTAAATGTCAGACTTGCTTGAGTCTTGTCAGGTTTGACAGTCCAGAGTCCAGTATTTCCACTAGAGTTCTGCTTATGGATAGAAGTAGCATTGGCAAGAATATGTAACAGTGCCCTAGTGTGGATTCTGTTTCTTGAAATTGCTCTGTTGAGGAAATTGTAGTCAGCCTTCAAGAAAAAAAAAATGAGTAATTACACTCTTTGCTGGCTTGAGACCTAGAATTTAAGACAGTCTTGTGCATAGTTGGAAGGATAAGGGAAGGAAAAAATGCTCTTTTTTTCTTGCTCAGCTTTCTCTCTATTCTATAAATGCTCTGAGACAAGGGTTTTTTTAATTTATATTTTAGAGTGTATTTTTTTAAATATCACATGACCTCCCCAGACCCCCAGAGTTTGTTACAAAAACACATCCTTCCATGTCTTTCTGGTTCCCGAATGTAATCCACATGAATGTTTGGAAGAAAGAAAAATCAAACTACTTTATTCAGATTTGAATAGCTCTGTGATTTAAAATTACTAATTTTTCTTGTTTCTTTTTTAGTAATTTTATGCGCCAGGAGTGTTTGGATTCCAGATTTGTATTTGACAGACCTCTTCCTGTGTCTCGTCTTGTAGCTCTAATTGGAAGCAGTATCCTTTTTATGTTACAATTTTGGAAATGAACTTTTAAGGATTTTGATATTCCTTATGTTAGTTATTGGGAATATGATCATATATACATAGGTAAGATTGTGGAAAAAGTTTAGTTACTTTTCAATAGCAGAATGTTTAAAATTTAGGAGAGTTATGGGAACTTTTACCATGGAAGAATGGGTTCTAAAATAAGGAATTTGTTTGTTCTTTCATCAGCCCTTATAAACCATTGATATTTTGCAGACATAGAAAAGTTCAGTTTTCAGGAAAACTAACCAAGCATCACTTTTAGAGGAAATTTAAAGATTTTATTGGTGGTTCTAGATGTCCTAAAAAATCCTTCGCTGCTCATATCCAAAACAAATGAGGTTCTCTTCTTGGCAGGAAAACATTTTGTTAGGACTAATTCTTGGGTTTGGTGGATAGTTGAACATTTTTTAACACTAGACCAAAGAAAAATTGCTCTATTTTATCTTCTTCCTATGGTGGATTATGCAACAATTAATAAATCAAAGGCTTTTGTTAGTAATATTTAATATGAAAATAAACATAGTACTTTATTCCTTGTTAGACCAGGCTCTTTAACTAGTTTAAGAGACCCAGATACCAACGCAAAGATATGGCCGAAGACCATATGGTGTTGGGCTGCTTATTGCTGGTTATGATGTAAGTTCATAGACTATTTTTATATTGTAATGATTTTTTAAAACTGACTAGAAATTTTCTAATTTTTAGTTTGACCAAAATCAAGAATTATGTGTACTTTTTTTCATATTTATAGGATATGGGTCCTCATATTTTCCAAACCTGTCCATCTGCTAACTATTTTGACTGCAGAGCGATGTCCATTGGAGCCCGTTCTCAGTCAGCTCGTACTTACTTGGAGAGACATATGTCTGAATTTATGGAATGTAAGTGATTTTTTTCTTTTTGCCCTTTCCAATCCTTATATAGTGAATTAACACAGTA